TAGGCCTTGCCTCTTATATCATCCATCCATCCATCCATCCATTTTCTTCCCCTTAATCCATTTCTGGGTCGGGGGGGTGGCCAGAGATGCCACCCACTACACAGAGCACCAGCCCCTCACTGATCCTCCTGCAGGTGGTGAGTCCACAGGAGCTGAGATCTTTCAGTGGGGGCTTCAGGCAAAGTGGGTTAAGTGTCTTGCCCAAGGACACAACAACAGCAGTCATCAGTGGGAGTCGTGAAGTAGGTCTTATGGTGGGCTCGAACCCACAACCTTCAGGCTCAAAGGCCAATGCTCTACCAGCTGAGCTACTGTCGCCTCTTATACCAAAGGATTTAAAACACATGTGACAATATGACCTATCGAACTCTATGTTAGAAAACAATCTCCTCTCATCCGTCAGGAGAAGTGTCTTCTTGTCTCAACACAGATGTTTTCTGGCTTCATGCTTGTTTACTCTGCTCTTGTTTACTCTGCTCTTGTTTACTCTGCTCTTGTTTACTCTGCTCTTGTTTACTCTGCTCTTGTTTACTCTGCTCTTGTTTACTCTGCTCTTGTTTACTCTGCTCTTGTTTACTCTGCTCTTGTTTACTCTGCTCTTGTTTACTTATGCTCTTGTTTACTTATGCTCTTGTTTACTCTGCTCTTGTTTACCTCTGACTCTGCTCTTGTTTACTCTGCTCTTGTTTACTCTGCTCTTGTTTACTCTGCTCTTGTTTACTCTGCTCTTGTTTACTCTGCTCTTGTTTACTCTGCTCTTGTTTACTCTGCTCTTGTTTACTCTGCTCTTGTTTACTCTGCTCTTGTTTACTCTGCTCTTGTTTACTCTGCTCTTGTTTACTCTGCTCTTGTTTACTCTGCTCTTGTTTACTCTGCTCTTGTTTACTCTGCTCTTGTTTACTCTGCTCTTGTTTACTCTGCTCTTGTTTACTCTGCTCTTGTTTACTTATGCTCTTGTTTACTTATGCTCTTGTTTACTCTGCTCTTGTTTACTCTGCTCTTGTTTACTCTGCTCTTGTTTACTCTGCTCTTGTTTACTACTGTGCTCTTGTTTACTTATGCTCTTGTTTACTCTGCTCTTGTTTACTTATGCTCTTGTTTACTTATGCTCTTGTTTACTCTGCTCTTGTTTACTCTGCTCTTGTTTACTCTGCTCTTGTTTACTCTGCTCTTGTTTACTCTGCTCTTGTTTACTCTGCTCTTGTTTACTCTGCTCTTGTTTACTCTGCTCTTGTTTACTCTGCTCTTGTTTACTCTGCTCTTGTTTACTCTGCTCTTGTTTACTCTGCTCTTGTTTACTCTGCTCTTGTTTACTCTGCTCTTGTTTTACTTTGCTCTTGTTTACTTATGCTCTTGTTTACTCTGCTCTTGTTTACTCTGCTCTTGTTTACTCTGCTCTTGTTTACTCTGCTCTTGTTTACTCTGCTCTTGTTTACTCTGCTCTTGTTTACTTTGCTCTTGTTTACTCTGCTCTTGTTTTACTCTGCTCTTGTTTACTCTGCTCTTGTTTACTCTGCTCTTGTTTCTCTGCTCTTGTTTACTCTGCTCTTGTTTACTCTGCTCTTGTTTACTCTGCTCTTGTTTACTCTGCTCTTGTTTACTCTGCTCTTGTTTACTCTGCTCTTGTTTACTCTGCTCTTGTTTACTCTGCTCTTGTTTACTTGCTCTTGTTTACTCTGCTCTTGTTTTCTCTGCTCTTGTTTACTCTGCTCTTGTTTACTCTGCTCTTGTTTACTCTGCTCTTGTTTACTCTGCTCTTGTTTACTCTGCTCTTGTTTACTCTGCTCTTGTTTACTTATGCTCTTGTTTACTCTGCTCTTGTTTACTTATGCTCTTGTTTACTCTGCTCTTGTTTACTCTGCTCTTGTTTTACTCTGCTCTTGTTTACTCTGCTCTTGTTTACTCTGCTCTTGTTTACTCTGCTCTTGTTTACTCTGCTCTTGTTTACTCTGCTCTTGTTTACTCTGCTCTTGTTTACTCTGCTCTTGTTTACTCTGCTCTTGTTTACTCTGCTCTTGTTTACTTGCTCTTTTACTCTGCTCTTGTTTACTCTGCTCTTGTTTACTTCTTGCTCTTGTTTACTCTGCTCTTGTTTACTATGCTCTTGTTTACTTATGCTCTTGTTTACTCTGCTCTTGTTTACTTATGCTCTTGTTTACTCGCTCTTGTTTACTCTGCTCTTGTTTACTTATGCTCTTGTTTACCCTGCTCTTGTTTACTTATGCTCTTGTTTACTTATGCTCTTGTTTACTCTGCTCTTGTTTACTCTGCTCTTGTTTACTCTGCTCTTGTTTACTCTGCTCTTGTTTACTCTGCTCTTGTTTACTCTGCTCTTGTTTACTCTGCTCTTGTTTACTCTGCTCTTGTTTACTCTGCTCTTGTTTACTCTGCTCTTGTTTACTCTGCTCTTGTTTACTCTGCTCTTGTTTACTCTGCTCTTGTTTACTCTGCTCTTGTTTACTTATGCTCTTGTTTACTTATGCTCTTGTTTACTCTGCTCTTGTTTACTCTGCTCTTGTTTACTCTGCTCTTGTTTACTCTGCTCTTGTTTACTCTGCTCTTGTTTACTCTGCTCTTGTTTACTTATGCTCTTGTTTACTCTGCTCTTGTTTACTTATGCTCTTGTTTACTTATGCTCTTGTTTACTTATGCTCTTGTTTACTCTGCTCTTGTTTACTCTGCTCTTGTTTACTCTGCTCTTGTTTACTTATGCTCTTGTTTACTCTGCTCTTGTTTACTCTGCTCTTGTTTACTCTGCTCTTGTTTACTTATGCTCTTGTTTACTCTGCTCTTGTTTACTCTGCTCTTGTTTACTCTGCTCTTGTTTACTCTGCTCTTATTTACTCTGCTCTTGTTTACTCTGCTCTTGTTTACTCTGCTCTTGTTTACTTATGCTCTTGTTTACTCTGCTCTTGTTTACTTATGCTCTTGTTTACTCTGCTCTTGTTTACTCTGCTCTTGTTTACTTATGCTCTTGTTTACCCTGCTCTTGTTTACTTATGCTCTTTCACTCTTGCCTCGGGGCTGGGAGAATTCTGCATTCTCGCCACCCTTAATGCATTAGTTGGTTAACAAGACTAGACCTTAATCTACACACATTTATTAACATGATAATACACATAACATTTCCCAACAATAACATACAGTTGCGGTGTTGTAGTGGGCGGGGTATGCACTCTCCGACAGACCTTCTCCAACAACGGAGGATTCCAGCGCCTCAGTTTCAGAAACAGGATATTCCAGTTTATTTCTCGTCTCTTTTCCCCCAGATTTTCTATTTTGGGCCCGTTCTTATTGGAGGCAGTTATGAGCTCACAGCTGAAGCCGCACTGGTCCAAACTCACGGCTCTGTGGCTGTAACACATGTTTGATGATGAGGATCCGAGCGGCCGGCGGCGCGTGGAGGTGGCACTAAATTAAAAAAGCAGCTCTGAGCCTCGAGCTGCGAGCGGCTCCTCGGAATGAACACACGAGTGAGGAACAGAAAGTCAATGAAAGGAGAGAGCTTTTCAGACGATAAAACTGGATCGGTCTGAATCAGTCTGTCTAAACCTGTCTGTCTAAACCTGTCTGTCTAAACCAGTCTGTCTAAACCAGTCCGTCTAAACCAGTCTGTCTAAACCAGTCTGTCTAAACCTATCTGTCTAAACCTGTCTGTCTAAACCAGTCTGTCTAAACCTATCTGTCTAAACCTGTCTGTCTAAACCAGTCTGTCTAAACCTGTCTGTCTAAACCAGTCTGTCTAAACCTGTCTGTCTAAACCTGTCTGTCTAAACCTGTCTGTCTAAACCTGTCTGTCTAAACCAGTCCGTCTAAACCAGTCTGTCTAAACCTGTCTGTCTAAACCTGTCTGTCTAAACCAGTCTGTCTAAACCTGTCTGTCTAAACGTTTCTGTCTAAACCTGTCTGTCTAAACCAGTCTGTCTAAACCTGTCTGTCTAAACCAGTCTGTCTAAACCTGTCTGTCTAAACCTGTCCGTCTAAACCTCTCTGTCTAAACCTGTCTGTCTAAACCTGTCTGTCTAAACCTGTCCGTCTAAACCAGTCTGTCTAAACCTGTCTGTCTGAATCAGTCTGTCTAAACTTGTCTGTCTGAATCAGTCTGTCTAAACCCATCCATCCATCCATTTTCTTCCGCTTTATCCGTTGCCGGGTCGCGGGGGCAGCAGTCTAAGCAGAGACGCCCAGACTTCCCTATCCACACACACCTCCTCAAGCTCGTCCGGGGGGACCCCTAGGTGTTCCCAGGCCAGCTGAGAGACATAGTCTCTCCAGCGTGTCCTGGGTCTTCCCCGGGGCCTCCTCCCGGTGGGACGTGCCCGGAACACCTCCCCAGGAAGGCGTCCAGGAGGCATCCTGAACAGATGCCCGAGCCACCTCAACTGGTTCCTCTCGACGTGGAGAAGCAGCGGCTCTACTCCGAGCTCCTCCCGTGTGACCGAGCTCCTCACCCTATCTCTAAGGGAGCGCCCAGCCACTCTGCGGAGGAAGCTCATTTCGACCGCTTGTATCCGCGATCTCGTTCTTTCGGTCATTACCCACAGCTCATGACCATAGGTGAGGGAGGGAACGAAGATTGACCGGTAAATTGAGAGCTTTGCCTTTCGGCTCAGCTCCCTCTTTACCACAACGGTCCGATACAGAGACCGCATCACTGCGCACGCTGCACCGATCCGCCTGTCAATCTCACGCTCCATCCTCCCCTCACTCGTGGACAAGACCCCGAGATACTTGAACTCCTCCACTTGAGGAAGGACCTCTCCACCCACCTGGAGAGGGCAAGGCACCTTTTTCCGGTCAAGCACCATGGCCTCGGATTTGGAGGTGCTGATTCTCATCCCAGCCGCTTCACACTCGGCTGCAAACCGTCCCAGTGCATGTTGCAGGTCCTGGTTCGTTGGAGCCAGCAGGACGACATCATCCGCAAAAAGTAGAGATGAAATCCTGTGGTTCCCGAACCGGACCCCCTCCGGCCCCTGGCTGCGCCTAGAGATTCTGTCCATAAATACAGTGAACAGAACCGGTGACAAAGGGCAGCCTTGGCGGAGGCCAACATTCACCGGGAACAGGTCTGACTTACTGCCAGCAATGCGAACACAGCTCTGGCTCCGGTCATACAGGGACCGAACAGCCCTCAGCAGAGGACCCCGGACCCCGTACTCCCGGAGGACCCCCCAAAGGACACCCCGGGGAACGCGGTCGAACGCCTTCTCCAAATCCACAAAGCACATGTGGACAGGTTGGGCGAACTCCCATGAACCCTCGAGTATCCGATGGAGAGTATAGAGCTGGTCCAGTGTTCCGCGACCGGGACGAAAACCACACTGCTCCTCCTGAATCCGAGATTCGACCATCGGACGAAGCCTCCTCTCCAGTACCTTGGAGTAGACCTTACCGGGGAGGCTGAGGAGTGTGATCCCACGATAATTGGAACACACCCTCCGGTCCCCCTTCTTGTAGAGAGGGACCACCACCCCGGTCTGCCACTCCATTGGCACCGCCCCCGATCGCCACGCGATGTTGCAGAGACGTGTCAGCCAAGACAGTCCTACAACATCCAGAGACTTTAGATAGTCAGGACGGATCTCATCCACTCCCGGCGCCTTGCCACCATGGAGGCTGCCAACCACCTTGGTGACCTCGGCCAGGGAGATGGAAGTATCCGCCCCAACATCCTCAGCCTCTGCCTCCTGGACGGGGGACGTGACGGGGGGATTGAGGAGAACCTCGAAGTATTCCTTCCACCGCCCGACAATATCCCCAGTCGAGGTCAGCAGCCCTCCACCCGCACCATACACGGTGTTGGCAAAGAACTGCTTCCCCCTCCTGAGGCGCCGGACGGTTTGCCAGAACCTCTTTGAGGCCGACCGATAGTCATGCTCCATGGACTCTCCGAACTCCTCCCAGTCCCGGGTTTTTGCCTCTGCAACAGCCCGGGCCGCGGTACGTTTGGCCTGCCGGTACTGGACAGCTGCCTCAGGAGTCCCACGAACCATCATTGCTCGATAGGACTCCTTCTTCAGCCTGACGGCATCCCTTACTGCCGGTGTCCACCACCGGGTTCGGGGATTGCCGCCGGGACCAGCACCAGAGACCTTGCGACCACAGCTACGAGCCGCCGCATTGGCGATAGAGGAAGAGAACATGGTCCACTCGGACTCGATGTCCCCCTCCTCTGCCGGGACCTGGGAGAAGCTCTCCCGGAGGTGTGAGTTGAAAGTCCGTCTGACAGGGGGCTCAGCGAGACGTTCCCAGCAAACCCTCACTACACGCTTGGGCCTGCCAGGTCTGACCGGCCTCCTGCCCTGCCAGCGGATCCAACTCACGACCAGGTGATGATCGGTTGACAGCTCCGCCCCTCTCTTCACCCGAGTGTCCGAGACACGCGGTCAAAGGTCAGATGATACGACAACAAAGTCGATCATCGACCTCCGGCCTAGGGTGTCCTGGTGCCACGTGCACTGATGGACACCCTTGTGCTCGAACATGGTGTTCGTGATGGACAGGCCGTGACTGGCACAGAAGTCCAACAACTGAACACCGCTCGGGTTCAGATCAGGGGGGGCGCTCTTCCCGATCACCCCTCTCCAAGTGTCACTGGCATTTCCCACATGGGCGTTGAAGTCCCCCAGGAGAATAACGGAGTCCCCGGGCGGTGCACTGTCCAGTACCCCTCCCAAGGACTCCAAGAAGGCCGGGTACTCTGCACTACCGTTAGGCCCGTAGGCCGTCACAACAGTGAGAGACTTGTCCCCCACCCGGAGGCGGAGGGACGCGACCCTCTCATTCACCGGGGAGAACTCCAACACGTGGCGGCTGAGATGGGGGGCAATGAGTATGGCCACCCCAGCTCGCCGCCTCTCCCCGCGGGAAACACCAGAAAAGTGGAGCGTCCAACCCCTCTCAAGGAGTTGGGTTCCAGAGCCCAAGCTGTGTGTGGAGGTGAGGCCGACTATCTCTAGTCGGTATCGCTCAACCTCCCCCACAAGCTCGGGCTCCTTCCCCCCCAGTGAGGTGACGTTCCACGTCCCAAGAGCCAGATGTTGGGTGTGTGGACTGGGTCGTCGAGGTCTCCGCCTTCGACTGCTGCCCAGTCCTCTCTGCACCTCGCCACCACGGACCCCTCTGCAGGTGGTGAGCCCACAGGAGGGACTGCCCACGTCATCCCTTCGGGCTGAGCCCGGCCGGGCCCCGTGGGCTAAGGCCCGGCCACCAGGCGCTCGCTTGCGAGCCCCGACCCCAGGCCTGGCTCCAGGGTGGGGCCCCGGCTGCGCCATGCCGGGCGACGTCACGGTTTTTGTTGTCGTGCTGTCCATGGTTGGCTTCGGACTGCGCTTCGTCTGACTCGTCACTTGAGACCTGTCTGCCATGGGAGACCCTACCAGGGGCATGAAGCCCCAGACAGCATAGCTCCCAGGATCATCCGAGTGCTCAAACTCCCCCACCACGTTAAGGTGGCAGTCCAAGGGGGGGGGCTGTCTGTCTAAACCTGTCTGTCTAAACCAGTCTGTCTAAACCTGTCTGTCTAAACCAGTCTGTCTAAACCTGTCTGTCTAAACCTGTCTGTCTAAACCAGTCTGTCTAAATCTGTCTGTCTAAACCTTTCTGTCTAAACCTGTCTGTCTAAACCTTTCTGTCTAAACCTTTCTGTCTAAACCAGTCTGTCTAACTGTCTAAACCTGTCTGTCTAAACCTGTCTGTCTAAACCAGTCTGTCTAAACCTGTCTGTCTAAACCAGTCTGTCTAACTGTCTAAACCTGTCTGTCTAAACCTGTCTGTCTAAACCAGTCTGTCTAAACCTGTCTGTCTAAACCTGTCTGTCTAAACCAGTCCGTCTAAACCTGTCTGTCTAAACCTGTCTGTCTAAACCAGTCTGTCTAAACCAGTCTGTCTAAACCTGTCTGTCTAAACCTGTCTGTCTAAACCAGTCTGTCTAAACCTGTCTGTCTAAACGTTTCTGTCTAAACCTGTCTGTCTAAACCAGTCTGTCTAAACCAGTCTGTCTAAACCTGTCTGTCTAAACCTGTCTGTCTAAACCTGTCCGTCTAAACCTGTCCGTCTAAACCTGTCTGTCTAAACCTGTCTGTCTAAACCTGTCTGTCTAAACCTGTCCATCTAAACCAGTCTGTCTAAACCTGTCTGTCTGAATCAGTCTGTCTAAACTTGTCTGTCTGAATCAGTCTGTCTAAACCTGTCTGTCTAAACCAGTCTGTCTAAACCTGTCTGTCTAAACCAGTCTGTCTAAACCTGTCTGTCTAAACCTGTCTGTCTAAACCAGTCCGTCTAAATCTGTCTGTCTAAACCTTTCTGTCTAAACCTGTCTGTCTAAACCTTTCTGTCTAAACCTTTCTGTCTAAACCAGTCTGTCTAACTGTCTAAACCTGTCTGTCTAAACCTGTCTGTCTAAACCTGTCTGTCTAAACCAGTCTGTCTAACTGTCTAAACCTGTCTGTCTAAACCTGTCTGTCTAAACCAGTCTGTCTCTGTCTAAACCTGTCTGTCTAAACCTGTCTGTCTAAACCAGTCTGTCTAAACCTGTCTGTCTAAACCTGTCTGTCTAAACCTGTCTGTCTAAACCTGTATCTACTGTTTATCTCAACACTTGTTTGAGTTATTCTCTTCTTTTAATCATTGCCTTCTCTCAATGATTCTTGTGCTCTCTCTCTCTCTTTCTCTGCTCTCTCTCTCTCTCTCTCTCTATTCTCTCTCTCTCTGGTTTCTCTCTGGTCTCTCTGTGCTCTCTGTCTCTCTTTCCTTCTTTCTCTCTCTCTGTCTCTTTCTGGTCTCTCTGGTTTCTCTCTCTCTCTCTCTGTGTGGTGCCTCTCTCTGGTCTCTCTGTGATCTCTCCCTGGTCTCTTTCTCCGGTCTCTCTCTCTCTTTCTCTGGTCTCTCTCACTCTCTCTGGTCTAACTCTCTCTCTCTCTCTCTAGTCTCTCTCTCTCCCTCTCTCGCTCTCTCCCTAGTCTCTCTCTCCAGTCCTTCTCTCGGTGATTCCTTGATGAGATCCAGATTTCCCGGTGGAGCAGAGGGAGCAGTAAACAGTGTGAGCCTCTGACTGTGGGACACGTGTGACATTTTACCGAAACAAACGACCGCAGACTCCACCTCACCGACCTTTGTGTGACACTGATGTGATGTAAAGGGAATGGGAGCGGTTGCTATGTGTGGTTGCCGAGTTGGTTGCCATGCGGTTGCTCTGTGGTTGCCATGTCGGTTGCTGTGCGGTTGCCGTGTCGGTTTGCTGTGTCGGTTGCTGTGTGGTTGCCGTGCGGTTGCCGTGCGGTTGCCGTGCGGTTGCTATGTGTGGTTGCCGTGCAGTCGCTATGTGTGGTTGCCGTTCGGTTGGCGAGTTGGTTGCCGTGTGGTTGCTGTCTTGGTTGTCGTGTGGTCGCCGCGGGCCGAGGCTGAGGGATTTGATGCTCGGCTCCAACACAAACAGCTCAGTCCAGGTCCGCTGCAGGGGACAGGGCCTCTCTCTCCGGGGGGGGGTTTCTCCTCTTCTGGTTTTGGAGTGCGACAGGAAGTGATGGACTAACGGAAGAAACGCTGTGGCTCCGATACGGCACTTCGAACTGTGTTATTGCTCCAAAGAAAAACTAAAGATAAAAGAGTTAAAGACCAGACCATTGTGTTGGGACATTATAAAAGGAAGAAGTCTAATCCAAGAGACGGGAGGATTTCAAGATGGCCGCCGATTGTTTTGACCAAGTCCCAGGTCTCCAAGATGGTGGTCCTTTATACTTTAATTTTTACATAGACACACACACACACACACAGACACACACACACACACACACACAGACACACACGCACACACACACACACACACACACAGACACACACAGACACACACACACAGACACACATACACACAGACACACACATACATACACACAGACACACACACACACAGACACACACACACACAGACACACACACACACAGACACACACATACACACAGACACAGACACACACAGACACACACACACACAGACACACACATACACACAGACACACTCACACACAGACACACACACACACACTCACACACACACACTCACACACACACACTCACACACAGACACACTCACACACAGACACACACACACACTCACACACACGCACACACACGCAGACACACACACACCTCTTATATATACTGTAAATATTAAGTAACGTAGTCGAGCCTATCTCCGCTGTTGAAACTAATGTAACACCACTTTCGCTGTCTATGGGGGTGGGAGGGGCCGATGGCACAGACTGGTTGCCTCGCTTCTGCCTGTGTGCCCCAGGGCAGCTGTGGCTACTGTAGTAGTTTATCACCACTGAATGAAAAATGACATGTGAAAAGACTTCCAGTTACAGTAAGTGTTGTATAAAACCGATGCATTATTATTACAGTATAGAAGTTTTGTAAATGAAGAAAATAGTAGTCGTCGCAGCAGTAGTAGTAGTAGTAGTAGTAGTAGTAGCAGTAGTGGTAGTATTGTGTTGCAGTAACTAGTGCTGCTAAAGTATATTCTCAGACTCATACTCATACATGCTCCTAAAGCTCGGTCCTGGCTCTCGTCGGACGTCCCGCGGCGCTAACGGCTCCAGACTGCGCCGCCGCTTCTGCCACAATTCCATAATACCATGGTTCCATAATACCACATGCATTTATAGATCCGCCCCCCACCGGCTCCACGGCCGTATGCAGCAGAACTCAATCCTTCACACGCACTGACAGCAGCACGGCGTCTGGAACACATTGGTGGAAATATATATAGATTGATAGATAGATAGATACATGGACAGACAGAGAGACAGAGAGAGAGAGAGAGAGAGAGATACTTTATTGAGCCCATAGGAGAAATGCAGGTGTCCAGTAGCAGCAAAAATAAAATAAAATTGATTATTCTAAAAACATAACAATAGTAATAATCAGAAACAGCCTCAGGTCACAGCAGCAGAGGTGGAGTAGCCTCTGGGTGGAGCAGGACGGGTCACAGCAGCAGAGGTGGAGGAGTCTCTGGGTGGAGCAGGACGGGTCACAGCAGCAGAGGTGGAGGAGTCTCTGGGTGGAGCAGAACGGGTCACAGCAGCAGAGGTGGAGGAGTCTCTGGGTGGAGCAGGACGGGTCACAGCAGCAGAGGTGGAGGAGTCTCTGGGTGGAGCAGGACGGGTCACAGCAGCAGAGGTGGAGGAGTCTCTGGGTGGAGCAGAACGGGTCACAGCAGCAGAGGTGGAGGAGTCTCTGGGTGGAGCAGGACGGGTCACAGCAGCAGAGGTGGAGCAGCCTCTGGGTGGAGCAGGACGGGTCACAGCAGCAGAGGTGGAGCAGCCTCTGGGTGGAGCAGGACGGGTCAAAAGGTGGAGTAGCCGCTTGGTTCAGACCATGAATCCTCTCTGCTCTGAGTCCTGAGGCTGCAGCTGTGATACACTCAACACTGAACAATACACACACACAAACACACACACACACACACACACTCTCTGATATATTTATAACACTGATGTACAGCATGTGGCACAGCAACTGGAATCTGCTGTTTTTATTTCAATATTGTCTCCGTGAGCAAACACTGCGTGGGCGGGTTCCGTTACCATGGCCTTTGAGTGACAGCTCCGTTACTATGGCCTTTGAGTGACAGCTCCGTTACCATGGCCTTTGAGTGACAGCTCCGTTACCATGGGCTTTGAGTGACAGCTACAGGATCTCCACGAGAGAGGCGGGCCTCAGTCCTGGGTCTACAACCTCAGTCCTGGATCTACAGCCTCAGTCCTGGGTCTACAGCCTCAGTCCTGGATCTACAGCCTCAATCCTGGGTCTACAGCCTCAGTCCTGGGTCTACAGCCTCAGTCCTGGGTCTGCAGCCTCAGTCCTGGATCTACAGCCTCAGTCCTGGGTCTACAGCCTCAGTCCTGGGTCTGCAGCCTCAGTCCTGGATCTACTGTACAGCCTCAGTCCTGGGTCTGCAGCCTCAGTCCTGGATCTACAGCCTCAGTCCTGGGTCTACAGCCTCAGTCCTGGATCTACAGCCTCCATCCTGGATCTACAGCCTCAGTCCTGGATCTACAGCCTCAGTCCTGGGTCTACAGCCTCAGTCCTGGGTCTACAGCCTCAGTCCTGGATCTACAGCCTCAGTCCTGGGTCTACAGCCTCAGTCCTGGATCTACAGCCTCAGTCCTGGGTCTACAGCCTCAGTAATGTACATTAATGAACATTTCTTTAATTGTACCAGATTTAGCCACAAGACCAGAGTGAGAGACAAGAGAGAGAGACCAGAGAGAGATTTAGAATGTTAAGTTAGCTTATAGAGATAGACGAGCGAGAGATTAACCACCCAGAGAGAGAGACCAGTGGAAAAGAAATAGAGACCATAGAGAGAGAGCGAATTCTCATTAGCCCCTCCCCTCCCCTCGTTACCTCCCCCCCTCTCGTTAAGAGTATTATATATTTAGCTCCTGCTCATTAGGACTGGGTTGTTGTGGTCAGGACAGAATGAGGAGGCTCCTGTCAGGACCATATGGCTCTGGGTCTATTCCTGAAGCTTTGGTCTGATTCAGTCAAGACGGAGGCCCTTGAGAACCTCGGCATCGGCTCTGCAGAGCCGCGGTGACTGGAGTGGGCCATCAGGACGGGAACCTGGCCCCAGAACCACATATGGAGGATATAGGGGACCAGAGCGAGACTGAGGGAGAACAGCTGTCATTTGTATTCATGCACCTTCAGCAGAAACCAACTAAACTGTAGAAGAACTCAGAGATCAGAGGAGGTTTCTACCAAAGGAAAAGATGGAAACAGAGAGAGACCAGAGAGAGAGAGAGACCAGAGAGAGACCAGAGAGAGACCAGAGAAAGAGACCAGAGAGAGACCAGAGAGAGACCAGAGAGAGAGACCAGAGAGAGACCAGAGAAAGAGACCAGAGAGAGACCAGAGAGAGACCAGAGAAAGAGACCAGAGAGAGAGAGAGACCAGAGAAAGACCAGAGAGAGACCAGAGAGAAGACCAGAGAGAGACCCAAAGAGAGACAGAGACCAGAGAGAGACCAGAAAGAGTAATCTCAGAGACTATAAATAAATAAGATGCTGTGAAATGTAAACCGTATGATCGCGAGGGACCACAGTATTTTGACTCCATTCATATAAATCAAAACATGGTCGCCGCATTCCCCACAGAACCCAACCCCTCTCTCTATCTCTCTCTCTCTCTCTCTCTGGTCTCTCTCTCTCTTCTCCCCTCTCTCTCTCTCTCTCTCTCTCTCTCTCTGGTCTCTCTCTCTCTTCTCCCCTCTCTCTCTCTCTCTCTCTCTCTCTCTTCCCCTCTCTCTCTCTGGTCTCTCTCTCCCCCTCTCTCTCTCTCTCTCTCTCCCCCTCTCTCTCTGGCCCCTGACATCATCATCGCGGCCCCTGGAGGAACGGCCCCTGGTTCCTGGGCTCTCACAGATGTGCGGTGGAGGAGGCCATGCTAATGTGCGGCTCGCTGTAAGTGAATCCGCCGCTCGCTCTTCATCCATCACGGCTGAAGTTTATCGATCCCGTCTGCAGTCATTATGATGTCCACAGTCCACAAACGTCTGTGTGTGTGTGTGTGTTTTATATGTGTGTGTGTGTGTGTGTGTGTGTGTTTTGGGCGACTGACGGTAAATACTGGTGCAAGGCAGATGGTTGTTTGGTCGTTTGGGAGAAAATACAATCTCTGCGGTAAAACTGTTATTGCGTAAGGATAGAGAGAAGTTTATGGATATTAAAGGAGAAGTATTGTATAAAAAGAACAATTATGAGATTCTTATTTTGTTGTAAACATGTGTTCTTGTTAATCGGACATAAAGTAAGAGAGAGCTGAGAGGAAGCAGAGAGAGAGAGCAGAGAGAGACCCGAGAGAGGGACCAGAGAGAGACCAGAGAGAGACCCGAGAGAGACCAGAGAGAGAGCAGAGAGAGAGCAGAGAGAGACCAGAGAGAGACCAGAGAGAGAGACCAGAAAGAGACCAGAATGAGACCAGAATGAGACCAGAAAGAGACCAGCGATAAACCAAATATGTGGAACTTAGACAGTTTCTGTTTCATGAAGACTGTTTCTGGAACCGCCGCTCAGTCGGTGGAGCATTAGCTTTGGGTCTGTTAGCTCTGACTGCCACCCCCACCCCCCGACCCAGACATGGATTAAGGGGAAGAACATGGAAGGATGGAGCTCAAAGTGCTGACGTTAAACTCGCTAAATGCTGCTCTGAAACACACAGTCCTCTGAATTCATGCTCAGTTATTAACAAGGAAATAAATGAAAGGATTTAAATGGATTAATCAAGAAAGTGGAATGCTAATCAGGCAGTTAGCATCTGCGAAGAGCCGCGCTAACAACAACACGCTTTCAGAAAGAGAACAGAGACAACAGAAGCTGCGGCTCTGGATTGTTCTACAGACGACAGCAGAATCACACTGAACTGCAGAAGAGAGACCAGAGAGAGACCAGAGAGAGAGACCAGAGAGAGACCAGAGAGAGAGACCAGAGAGAGACCAGAGAGAGACCAGAGAGAGACCAGAGAGAGACCAGAGAGAGACCAGAGAGAGACCAGAGAGAGAGACCAGAGAGAGACCAGAGAGAGACCAGAGAGAGACCAGAGAGAGACCAGAGAGAGAGACCAGAGAGAGACCAGAGAGAGACCAGAGAGAGACCAGAGAGAGACCAGAGAGAGACCAGAGAGAGACCAGAGAGAGACCAGAGAGAGAGACCAGAGAGAGACCAGAGAGAGACCAGAGAGAGACCAGAGAGAGACCAGAGAGAGACAGGAGAGAGACCAGAGAGAGAGACCAGAGAGAGACAGGAGAGAGACCAGAGAGAGACCAGAGAGAGACAGGAGAGAGACCAGGGAGAGACAGGAGAGAGACTAGAGAGAGACCAGAGAGAGACAGGAGAGAGACCAGGGAGAGACAGGAGAGAGAGAGACCAGAGAGACACCAAAGAGAGACAGGAGAGAGACCAGAGAGAGACCAGAGAGAGACAGGAGAGAGACTAGAGAGAGACTAGAGAGAGACAGGAGAGAGACCAGAGAGAGACCAGAGAGAGACTAGAGAGAGACCAGAGAGAGACAGGAGAGAGACCAGGGAGAGACAAGAGAGAGAGAGACCAGAGAGAGACCAAAGAGAGACAGGAGAGAGACCAGAGAGAGAGACAGGAGAGAGAGAGACCAGAGAGAGACCAAAGAGAGACAGGAGAGAGACCAGAGAGAGAGACAGGCGAGAGAGAGACCAGAGAGAGACCAGAGAGGACGCAGAGAGAGAGAGACCAGAGAGAGACAGGAGAGAGAGAGACCAGAGAGAGCCAGGAGAGAGATCAGCGAGAGAGAGAGACCAGAGAGAGACCGGAGAGAGACCAGAGAGAGACCAGAGAGTCTCTCTCTTTCTCTCTCTCTCTGTGTTTCTCTCTTTCTCCCTCTCTCTCTGTTTCTCTCTGTGTTTCTGTCTCTGTGTCTTTCTCTCTCTCTCTTTCTCACCAGCCCCTCGTTAATTTTATTTCATAACAATATTTCCTGAGATCTCACTGAAGACGAGAGCTTTTAAACAGACGATACATGTATTCCCTCTGCTTCCTGCGAGTAGCATGGACGGGTCTAAAAACACCTCCAGGTCGGTCACAGAAACAATACTCTCCCATTTAAACTATTTTAGCAGCGTATGTCTCCTTTAAAACACCTCCGCCTCTATCTCCCAACATCGACCTCCTTCTACCTTCATCGGGCCTAAAGATTTATTTCCCGCCAACTTTCTGTCAAAACCTGATTCAATAAAGTTTATTCAACACAAACGTCAACATAAAACACACTAATAAAGTAAACAACATTAAGCTCTGTCTGTTTAAAACGTCAGGCTGGATCCACTTCCAGTTTTTCAGCGGCGGCGACAGAAGGCGGCAGGATCAGCGGGTCACATCTTTCTGCTAACAAACGCTTCGTAAAAAAATCCATTAACAAAAAAAGAGACTCAACTTTTGCAGTTTTTGGCTCCGTTCCAAGGTCCTTCTCTGCTTCAGAACGAGGAAAAACACCGGCTATTGAAAGACGCTCGGAGTGTTGTGCTGCAAAGTCTCCTGGGTATTTAAAGGATCAGGTTGAGACAGATTCGGTGGGAGCTAAAGCGGTGGTGTGTTAGCCGTTAGCGACGTTAGCTCAGGCTCGCTAAAGGGTTGGGGTGAGAAAGATAAAATGAGGTTTAATTTTGGTAGAATTTTTTTTTGAAGTTTGGCTCAGATTGTGTTATTGTTTGGGCTTTTTTTAATTAAAGTTTGATATTCATCCAGAAATTATACACGGCTGAAATGGTTGGTTGCTAGGGAATTGCCGTATGACTAAAGAATATTGAATTTGAGTTTTATAACTTTAACTAGCAGCAAAGAAACTTGAGATCCCGGTCTTTTTATGTCTATGTGAATCCAGATAAGACCCTTAACTACTGAATAATTACTATATACTGTAGAAACAGACCGGCCAATCAGGAATTAGGAATGGATTGGTTGCCGGGTAGTTGCCGTGGGAGATTTTTTATTTATTTTTTCTTGTCCATGGAGCCTGTTTGAGTTGGTTCTAACAGACCTTTTCCACATTAATGCTAACACTAAACCAATGTGTGATGACTACGGTACATTCAAAACACTGCGGCTCGAGTCCGGACCAGAACCAGGAAGTACCATCACTTTAGTCCTGGGCTGTATCCGAATGTCCACACTATACCCTATATAGTGCACTATATAGTGGTCACGCCATTTTGTAGGGGTGTCCGAATGTCCAGAGAGAAAAAGTAGTGCACTGGAATTTTCCCACAATGCATCTCGAAAATGTAGTGAGCAGCGATGGTCACTATACGGAAGTAAAATGGCGGAGGCAGCGAGAGACGTGTTGGAACAGGAGCGGGACATGAGCTATAAATGTGAGTTTTTAATCATCATAAATATGGAAATGTGTAAACCGTGATGTGTTTTTGACGATAAGCTGCCAAAATACACATTTGAATACCATTGCCTTTTACTGCGAAACAACGTACCAATGTTATGCCGCAAAAAATGTTAGCATTTTTGCGTATCATGACGCTAACATCTCAAGCTAACGCTACAGAAACGGGTCACTGGTGGTCAGTCATTAATGTTATTAAAGCACTTGTGTTATACGTGTAGCATTTATTGTGTTAAATGTTTTTCTAAAGGGACAGACACTGATGTGGAGAGACTCATCTGACTGCGGGTGAAAAACGGCGGCCTGTTCTCAGGCCGCCGTTTTGCATCGCCGGCTGGATGGGAGTACGACCATTATGAATGAATACTTATTCAAAAAACGTCTACTCATATTCAAATGCTTTTATGTATCGTTACTTTAGGGCAGTGATAAAGGAAATGGGGCTGAGCCGCCTGATCAGCCCTGCCAGAGCGGCCAAGAAGTGGGAGAACCTGAAAAAGACCTACAAGGTTTGTTTCTTTGAAGCTTTGTGTGTAATTTGTGAAGCATATATTATATAAAACTCACTGTTTTAAGGAGCTCAGACAGCCACGGACAGGGACAGAAGGAGGGGAGCCTACCGCCATATCGTGGAAGTGGTACTCCCTCATGGATGAGGCAATAGGCAGCAGGCCATCCGTGCAGCCTCCCTGCCTGATTGCCTCATCCATGGGGGATGCTGCTTCCACATCTGTGGTGCAACCCCCTGCCCCCGTACAGCCAGATGAGGAAGCGGAAAGAGTGGCAGCCAAGAGGCCGAGAAGGGAGAGTTTGTTGAGTTTTTTGGAGAAGGTGGAGAAGAAGGAAGAGGAAAGGGAGAAGCGAGAAGAGGAGAGGGGAAGAAGAGAGGAAGAGAGAGAGGAGAGACTGTTGAGTTTGTTGGAGAGAATAGTGGAGAAATTATAAATAAAAATGTATTTTGATAAGTGTAGTTTGAACTATATGCATATCGACATACAATGATGAACACTATTTACACAAAAAAAATTTAATCAACTAGACATTTGTAAAGAACTATACATACATTCAACAAGATATTTACATATTCAATTGTTTTTGTTTTTATTTAAATAGGCCAAAACACAGATTATTCAAACATTTAATTAATAGTCGTGGTCCCGAAGAGCTGGTAGCCTGGCCCTTGGGGTGGAAAGTGCTGCTGCCATCCGTCCACACAGCTCCTGTCCACGCAGCTCCTGTCCACACAGCTCCTGTCCACACAGCTCCTGTCCACACAGCTCCTGTCCACACAGCTCCTGTCCACACAGCTCCTGTCCACACTGCTGATCAGGCTGGTGCTGCTGATGCTGGTCCTGCTCATCATCAGGCCCTGGCTCCTCTTCCACTGGCTCCCAGAGATCACCATCGCTGACGCAGATGTTGTGCAGGATGGCGCAACAGGCAGTCACCTCGACTGCAAAGGTGGGTTGGACTTCCAGTGCCTTGAAAAAAATGGATCGCCATCTTGCTTTCATCATACCAAACGCTCTCTCTATTACAGATCGTGCCCGTGCATGGTGCCGGTTGAAGCGGGCTTCCACTGGGCTCCAAACAGGCTCTCTGTATGGAGTGAGGAGTGTGATGGGCTGACGGAGGCAAGGGTAACCCCCATCCCCAAGGAGGACGTGTCCATTTGGGGGATAGAGCCGGTGGACGTAGAGGGGGCTGTTTTTAAGCACTCGAGAATCGTGCACAGATCCGGGGTAGCCAACAAACAAATCAAGAAATAAGCCACGGTGATTACACACAGCCTGCATTTGAATGGAATAAAACAATTTCCTGTTAAAATAACACTGTGCATTTTCTTGAAGGGGCTTTATTCTGATGTGGCAGCCGTCGATGCTCCCCACAACATTATTGAGAGCAGCTGATCCAGCCAGCAACTGAAACCCAGCTGCAACTTGGGGAAGTTCCTCCAGGGAAGGGAAATGAATTATTTGGCCACGCATTTGAAGGATCTGGTTGGCCACCCTGTGGATCACATCGTGGACTGTGGACTGGGGCATGTCCAATGCCCTGGCGACAACACGGTACGCGGTGCCACTGGCCAACCAAAAGAGGAAGACCAAAACCTCCATGTCCTGGCTCCAGCCCTGGTGATGAGCACTCCTCAGGTGGCTAACCAGACGGGTGATGGTGGTTCGAGTGAGACGAAAATCGGGGCGAAGGTCAGACTGGCCATTTAAGTACATGCTGAGTAGGGGTACATGGTGGTTCAGTCGGGCAGTACACCGGTGGTTCACCCTAAAACAAAACAAAAATTCTCTTAAACTTAATATGATACTTCTAGATTCATTTTTTAATTCTGTATCTGCACTTTTAGTTATGAGTGCAGACACAGGAATAAGTACTCATTTTTCATTTTGAGATTTAAAAATGTAAATAAAAATGAAGAGTATATAGCTGAAGTCATGTTCTTTTGTGCCCTGGCATTGATTTTGCCAAATGTATTGTGTGTTGCAGGGAGCTGGAGCTGCCCTGAGACAACTGAAGTAGAAACCCTCACTACATCACTCGCACCTAATAACACACAAAAAAATCACAGAAGCCCTGTGCCCCATGGCCAAGCAAATTCTATTGTTTAATGATTAAGTACTCATTTTTCATTTAGAAAAAATGAGTACTTAATCCATTTCCCTTGCTATGGTTTTGTGTTCTTTCAACCAATAAAATATTTTAATGTTCTTGCATTTTAAGTGAGTGTGTCTATACAATGTGTTTTCTTGTTGAAATATGTCTAAATGTATATGACTAATGTGTTTCTCATTGACTGAGAATAGTATTTTTAATTAGTAAGTACACCAAAAGTACTATAATTTACCCAGTAGATGGTGCTAATGCTATATAGACAAAGGACGAATACAATACTTACACGACGCCTTGCTAATGAACGAAGAGCCATTCTCCTCCTCCGCCTCATCGCCTGTCTTCGCCTTCTCTCTGTTCGGCGGTTTTTAATTCGCATTATGAGAAGTTTTATAATTGTTAACAAAAACACCGCAAAATTCAGTGGAGGTGCCATTTCACCAGTGTTAGAGGAGCTGGTCAGGTGGCGGGAATATGAAAGACGTTAAGCGAATAAGTCAACCAAAATTCATAAATATGAATATAAATTGTAAAAAACATTTTATACATGTATATTAGACAAATATTGATATTTTAATATACTTTTATTTATATATAAAATTATATTGATCCAATGAGTGTGCATGTGTCCGAATTGCCAACAGAATGAGTGCACTGACTCACTCACTCAGTCGCTATATAGTCCCGAACTATATAGTGAGTGAGTGAATAGGGTATAGTGTGGACATTCGGATACAGCCTTGGTCTTTTCTGGTCCGAGTCTGAGTCACGTCCTGGACAACAACTTTGAGAGAATAACCATCGCACAGAGTAATGTTCCCATCAGACACATCCTGAAAACTGCACTTCATCAGGAGTTAAACGGATGCGCCCCAAAGGAGACCCCAGGCTTCTCCCTAACACAACACGGACCAGACCGAAGGCCGGAGTTTGAAACCAGGTCAAAGAGACAGTACTCAGGAGTGGCCACCGGGGGCAGCGGCTTAAAATAACATCAGACACAAAGCGGTGGCGTGTTCCTTTGATGAAGACAAGTGGAGATTAACGCCGCGGCAGCATCTGGCGAATCAGGTTAATGTGGCACCGTGGCGCCGTGGAGAAGGTACGAGACGGTCCGGGATAACTGCTGGTCCGAGACTGGTTCTTTCCCCTGGTGTTTGTGCTCACATGGTCCAGTAATTAGTGTTTATTAAACCTGAGTCTTGTTGGATGAGCTGTGTCAGGAAAAAACCAGGAAGTGAGGTGTTAGCATGCTAGCTAGTGTCTGCATGGCCTCGCACCAAAGTATATCTAAGACGTATGAACCAACTCTGAGGAGCACAGGGACTGGTCTCCTGCTGGGACTTCAGGGAGCACAGGGACTGGCCTCCTGCTGGGACTTCAGGGAGCACAGGGACTGGCCTCCTACTGGGACTTCAGGGAGCACAGGGACTGGCCTCCTGCTGAGACTTCAGGGAGCACAGGGACTCTCTCTGGTCTCTCTCTCTAGTTTCTCTGTCTCTCTCTGGTTTCCCTAGACTCTCTCTCCCTCCGTTCTCTCTCTAGTCTCTCTCTCTCTTTGTCTGGTCTCTCTTTTTGGTCTCTTTCTAGTCTCTCTCTAGTATCTTTTTGGTGTCCCTTTAGTCTCTCTCTCTCTTTGATCTCTCTCTTTCTGGTCTCTCTCTTTGGTCTCTCTTTCTCTGGCCTCTTTCTGGTCTCTCTCTCTCTCTTTCTGGTCTCTCTTTGGTCTCTTTCTGGTCACTCTCTCTCTCTTTCTAGTCTCTCTCTCTGAGGTTTTTCTGGTCTCCCTCTTTGGTCTCTCTCTCTCTCTCTGGTCTCTTTCTGATCTCTCTCTCTCTCTCTCTCTGGTCTCTTTCTGGTCACTCTCTCTCTCTCTCTCTGGTCTCTTTCTGGTCACTCTCTCTCTCTCTCTCTGGTCTCTTTCTGATCACTCTCTCTCTCTCTCTGGTCTCTTTCTGATCTCTCTCTCTCTCTCTCTCTGGTCTCTTTCTGGTCACTCTCTCTCTCTCTCTGGTCTCTTTCTGGTCACTCTGTCTCTCTTTCTGGTCTCTCTCTCTCTCTCTCTCTCTGGTCTCTTTCTGATCACTCTCTCTCTCTGGTCTCTTTCTGATCACTCTCTCTCTCTCTGGTCTCTTTCTGGTCACTCTCTCTCTCTCTCTCTGGTCTCTTTCTGATCACTCTCTCTCTCTCTCTGGTCTCTTTCTGATCTCTCTCTCTCTCTCTCTGGTCTCTTTCTGGTCACTCTCTCTCTCTCTCTGGTCTCTTTCTGATCTCTCTCTCTCTCTCTCTCTCTGGTCTCTTTCTGGTCACACTCTCTCTCTCTCTGGTCTCTTTCTGGTCACTCTCTCTCTCTCTCTGGTCTCTTTCTGATCTCTCTCTCTCTCTCTCTCTGGTCTCTTTCTGGTCACACTCTCTCTCTCTCTGGTCTCTTTCTGATCACTCTCTCTCTCTCTCTGGTCTCTTTCTGATCACTCTCTCTCTCTCTGGTCTCTTTCTGGTCACTCTCTCTCTCTCTCTCTGGTCTCTTTCTGATCACTCTCTCTCTCTCTCTGGTCTCTTTCTGATCTCTCTCTCTCTCTCTCTGGTCTCTTTCTGGTCACTCTCTCTCTCTCTCTGGTCTCTTTCTGATCTCTCTCTCTCTCTCTCTGGTCTCTTTCTGGTCACACTCTCTCTCTCTCTGGTCTCTTTCTGGTCTCTCTCTCTCTCTCTTTCTGGTCTCTCTCTCTCTCTTTCTGGTCTCTCTCTCTCTCTCTCTGGTCTCTTTCTGATCTCTCTCTCTCTCTCTCTCTGGTCTCTTTCTGGTCACTCTCTCTCTCTCTCTGGTCTCTTTCTGGTCTCTCTCTCTCTCTCTTTCTGGTCACTCTCTCTCTCTTTCTGGTCTCTCTCTCTCTCTTTCCGGTCTCTCTCTCTCGCTCTCTCTGGTCTTGCTCCTTCATCTCAGTGTCCTCTGCAGCTGTTTGCACGGCTTTTGACGGCTGCAGCAGCTCACACAGCTTTGATATCTCAGAATCTGTATAAAAGTCTGAGGAGTTTTTTGAGCCTTAAAACACTGACTGCAGTAAAGTATATTTCTGGAGACGCCGTTATCCTGAGCCGATCCAGGACCACAGACCTTCACTGCGAGAGGAAAGACATTGCTGGAGAATGGCCTGGTATAGCCTGGTATAGCCTGGTATAGTCTGGCTCTGATTGGCTTCATTTGGCTGGAGCTGAACACCGTGATTCTGATTCAAATCCCACGAGTTTTACCTTTTAGCCACAAAAGAAAAAGACGGCATTAAATATTTATGCGTCTTCTCCTTTTGAGGTTCTCTTGTTGTTGTGTAAAATAAAAGTATAAAGTGTTGTGTCCTTGTCCTGGACGCATCAAACAGAAAAGTGTGTTTTTATCTCGCTACAATGTTGCACAAATTGTATCAAACTGATTTTGATCAAGAATGTTGTTTTTCCAAATAAATCTAACCACAGTTTATTATTGAATTTCTACAAATCATACCTCGAACCAAAATACATCTGTGACATTTGAGGAGCACAGGGACTGGCCTCCTGCTGGGACTCTGAGGAGCACAGGGACTGGCCTCCTGCTGGGACTCTGAGGAGCACAGGGACTGGCCTCCTGCTGAGACTCTGAGGAGCACAGGGACTGGCCTCCTGCTGGGACTCTGAGGAGCACAGGGACTGGCCTCCTGCTGGGACTCTGAGGAGCACAGGGACTGGCCTCCTGCTGGGGCTCTGAGGAGCACAGGGACTGGCCTCCTGCTGGGACTCTGAGGAGCACAGGGACTGGCCTCCTGCTGGGACTCTGAGGAGCACAGGGACTGGCCTCCTGCTGGGACTCTGAGGAGCACAGGGACTGGCCTCCTGCTGGGACTCTGAGGAGCACAGGGACTGGCCTCCTGCTGGGACTCTGAGGAGCACAGGGACTGGTCTCCTGCTGGGACTCTGAAGAGCACAGGGACTGGCCTCCTGCTGGGACTCTGAGGAGCACAGGGACTGGCCTCCTGCTGGGACTCTGAGGAGCACAGGGACTGGCCTCCTGCTGGGACTCTGAGGAGCACAGGGACTGGCCTCCTGCTGGGACTCTGAGGAGCACAGGGACTGGCCTCCTGCTGGGACTCTGAGGAGCACAGGGACTGGTCCCAGAGTCAGGACTAAACTTGAGGAGGTGAAGTCTCCACAAAACTGAAAAAGTGGCATAAGGACAATCCAAAGTCTGAGCCCCAAAACCGGACACAGTTTGGAAAAATGAGGCTTGTTTTTATTTTATTATTTTTATTGATGTAATTTTTTTTTTCTGGTAACAATATTTTTCGTACTGTCCTTTTCAAATAAATAAATAAAATGGAGCAGCTAAAATCTGGAATCACACATGAGCTCGTGCCCGATAATACAGAAGAAAGAAAACAGATTATTCCTGGAGTAATGAGGGGGCTGGCTGCGGTAATCAACCCTCCGGAGCTAGCGAGCTAACGGTGCCACATGTGCCAGCGGCGGCAGCTGCCAGGGCAGGTGCGGCTACGCTCGACTGCACACTCTGAGCCGAGTCAGGTCCGAGCTTCTACAAGTCGTTAGTTAAAGGTGCGGAGCCAAACAGCTGCGGACTCCTGCACGCAGCCAAAAAGCCTCTGCTAGCTCTAATGCTAATGCTAATGATAATGCTAATGCTAATGCTAATGCTTGTTCAAAGTGGAAGTAGCACCATCATCTTTTCACAGTTGGTTTTGAACTTGCTGTTTCCAAGGCGACAGTGGCTCAGTTGGTAGATATTGGTTTTTGGACCAAATGATTCTGGGTTTGATGCCCCCAAGACTCATATCATCTGCTGTTGTTGTGTCCCTGGGCAAGACACTTAACCAAAAAAATAATAATAATAATAATAATAATCTATCGGTTTGATGCAGTGCTTTGTTGGACTCTCAAATACGCTTTGCATGTCATTCTATCACTCCAAACACGGAGAGACCAGAGAGAGAGAGACCAGAGAGAGCGAGACCAGAGGGGGAGAGACCAGAGAGAGAGGGACCTGAGGGAGAGGGACCAGAGGGAGAGAGACCAGAGGGGGAGAGACCAGAGAGAGAGAGACCAGAGAGAGAGAGACCAGAGGGGGAGAGACCAGAGAGAGAGGGACCTGAGGGGGAGAGACCAGAGGGAAAGAGACCAAAGGGAGAGACCAGAGAGAGACCAGAGGGAGAGAGACCAGAGGGGGAGAGACCAGAGAGAGAGAGACCAGAGAGAGAGAGACCAGAGGGGGAGAGACCAGAGAGAGAGGGACCAGAGGGGGAGAGACCAGAGAGAGAGGGACCTGAGGGAGAGGGACCAGAGGGAAAGAGACCAAAGGGAGAGACCAGAGAGAGACCAGAGGTAGAGAGACCAGAAAGAGAGAGGGCCAGAGAGAGAGAGAGACCAGAGAGAGAGGGACCTGAGGGAGAGGGACCAGAGGGAGAGAGACCAAAGGGAGAGACCAGAGAGAGACCAGAGGTAGAGAGACCAGAAAGAGAGAGGGCCAGAGAGAGAGAGAGACCAGAGGGATAGACCAGAGAAAGACACCAGAGAGAGGAAGACCAGAGAGAGAGAGACCAGAGGAAGATAGATCAGAGGGAGAGAGACAAAGGGAGAGACCAGAGAGAGAGAGAGACCAGAGGGAGAGACCAAAGGGATAGACCAGAGAGAGGGAGACCAGAAAAAGAGAGAGACCACAGGACACAGAACTGTTTTTAACCTGGATTTGAACATAGTCAGAGAAGAATAAGCCTGTCTCACACGTTCAAGAAGACTGTTCCATATTTGTGCTGCATGAATCTTTTTTTTTTTTTTTCATACTTTATTGTGTCATCTTCATTAGTTCACACTGTTTTCTTAATACATACAGCTTAACCAGACACATTTTTAATTTATTTATTTTTTTTTTTTTTTTACCCCACTATGCTCCCCTTGTGTCAAAAAAAAAAAAAAAAATACACAAAGAAAAACAGAAAAAAAAAAAAAAAACAAAGGATAAAACAAATCAAAGCAAATCAAATACATAGACAAATAAGGAGAAAGTATGTATATATACGCAAAAATAAAATATATATATACGAAAAAATAAATATAAATAACAATATTAAAGTAAATAAAATACTCTTAACAATAGATGGTTATTCTTATGGCTGTATGTTAAATAGTTTTGATGTTATATCGATAAGTGTACAGAATGTGTAGTCAGTCTTCCTCTGTGACCATTTTTGTTGAATTTATATATACATACACACCTGCACAGATACTCGTTTGCGCACCTATATACTCATGTACATATGTGCTGCATGAATCTGAGTCTAAAATAAAACACACACATCACAGTCTCACAACAACAACAACAACAACAACACACTCTCCCTGAACCTCACAAACACACACTAACTTTAGCTCCTTCTTCCAGACGTCAGCCATGTTCTGCACAGCTGGGCTTCTGTTCTTATATATATATATGTTCTGAACCTGCTTCCCAACCGGGGGCCCCTGGGAGCGCCGGAGATTAGGCGGCGTGTCAGCTCCTTGTCTCTCCGCTCGGCTGGTCCTCGCTGATCCGCCCTAATGGTCCGGTCCTCATTAGGAGCCGGACTGACACGGCCGTGATCCGATTAAAAGTTCAGGACGAGCCTCTGGTCGGCGTAATGTGCGGGGGCCGCTCCGTGATACACAAATAAACAGAACGCAAGAGCACTTTGGCGAACAAGACGCCCCTAATTAGCTCACGGCGGCGGGGGCGATCAACAGAGCTGTGGAGATGGGGGGAGAGAGAGAGACAGGACAGGTAGAAGCTAGAGCCCTGTTTCCACCGACCCTACTCTACTCTACTCTACCCTACTCGACCCTACTCTACTCTACTCTACCCTACTCGACCCTACTCTACTCTACTCTGCCCTACTCTACTCTACTCTACTCTACTCTGCCCTACTCTACTCTACCCTACTCTACTCTACTCTACTCTACTCTACACCTCTTTTTCTAACATTAAAACATTATTTTTGTCATAAAAACATAAACAGATAATTCCGTGAAATGTATAATGTGTTCTCCGATTAACATTTAAATGTGTTTGATTGATTGTTAAGGAAACATAGGCGTAGACCAATCAGAAAGGAAGGGGGCGGAGCTTGGGTCGTTGTTGTCAAATCATATACATCTCTCTCTTTTTTCTGCCAAACTCCAGAAACTCTGCCTCTCTGACTCTCTGGTCTCTCTCTCTTATCTATGGTCTCTCTCTCTGCCTCTCTGGTCTCTCTCTCTTATCTCTCTCCGCTCTCTCTCTCTGCCTCTCTGGTCTCTCTCTTTGTCTCTCTGCCTCTTTCTCTGCTCTCTCTCTCTCTGACCCTCTGGCCTCTCTCTCTGGCACTTTGGTCTCTCTCTCCGCTCTCTCTCTGCCTATCTCTGGCCTCTCACTCTGGTCTCTCTCTGCTCTCTCTCTACTCTCTCTCTGGTCTCTCTCTCTACTCTCACTCTACTCTCTCTCTACTCTCTCTGGTCTCTCTCTCTGGTCTCTCCCTCTACTCTCTCTCTGGTCTCTCTCTCTGCTCTCTCTCTCTTCTTTCTCTCTGCTCTCTCTCTCTGCTCTCTCTCTCTCTACTCTCTCTGCTCTCTCTCTCTGGTCTCTCTCTCTGCTCTCTCTCTCTCTGCTCTCTCTCTCTACTCTCTCTCTTTACTCTCTCTCTGCTCTCCAATCCAAACACCAAACTCTCTCCTCGTGGCTGTGATCTTTCCATGGTTCCTTGGACGCCGCCTCAGTCTGAGGTCAGAGGTCGTTCACCAGGATCTCCCAAAAACACTGGACTCCATTTGACTCAAGAAATCCATCAGCCTCTGAAAGTGCAATCTGTTCTCTCTGCTCTTGTTCTAATCCACAGACGCCGCGAGAATATTAACTGCTCTCTTCTAACAAGCCTCGAAACAGGCGACAAGAATTAATCTGCCAGACTCTTTCTCTCTCTGTCTCTTTCTGGTCTCTCTCTGCTCTCTTTCTCTCTGCCTTTCTCTGGTCTCTCTCTGGTCTTTCTCCTTCTGTCTCTCTCTAGCTTTTTGGCCTCTCTCTCTCTGTCTCTCTCTCTTTCTCTGCCTCTCTCTGTCTCTATCTCCCGCTGTCTCTCTCACTGTCTCTCTCTCTGCCTCTCTCTCTGTCTCTCCGTCTCTCTCTGTCTCTCTCTCTCTCTGTCTTTGCTTCTTTGTCCTCTGTCTGTCTCTCATTGCTCTCTCCAACACTCTGTCTCTCTCTGCTCTCTCTAGCTTTTTGGACTCTCTTTCTCCCCTATCCTGTCTCTGTCTCTCTCTCTCTGCCTTTGTCTCCCTGTCTCTCTCTCTCTGTCTCTCTCTCTCTCTCTCTCTCTCTCTGTCTTGGATTATGTGTTTTAAAATCTCCCTATCCTCTGTGTCTTTGGCTCAGACTGGGCTGATCCCAGGTGCCGTAATCGTAGCTGAGAGTGTTGATAAAAACACTGTAGTGAAGCAGGCGCAGGACCAGACCCAAACAGGATTTGACTCTGGACCTGGGAGAAAGAGCAGAGACTTTGGACTAAATGTGAGTTATCAGACCGGACATGGAGAGGGATGAGACGGACGTTCAGAAACTAGCTTTAATGGCGTCTGCAAAATCGTCTTTTTGAGTTTTTCACCGCGTTTCGACATCATTCACTCGACAGAAACTTAAGAGTCCTAATTTTCTCGAGCTAAATTATTCATAGCATTTTCAAGTAAAGTTGGAGAAACGACATCAGCCGTTCTTCGAAGTAGTAGTAGTTTGGTGCTGGTTCGCAGGTCTGTTCTTGGTTCGGATCTGGTCTTGGTTCTGTTTCGGCTTCAGTCCAGGTCTGGTCTGGTGTCCGTCCAGGTCTGGTTTGGGTTCAGTCCAGGTCTGGTCTGGTTTTGATCCAGGTCTGGTCTGGTTTTGATCCAGGTCTGATCTGGTTTCAGTTCGTCGAAGCCATAGAAAGATCAGTGAGAGACTCGAGAGAGACCAGAGGAGGACTGGAGCGAGACTTGAGAGAGAGACCAGAGAGTGAACATGGAGAGACCGGAGTGAGATGAGAGAAAGAGAGAGACCAGAGAGAGACTAGAGAGAGACCACAGAGAGACTGGATAGACGAGAGAGAGACCGAAGAGAGACCAGAGAGAGAGCGAGAGACCAGAGAGAACATAGAAAGACCATGAGACCAGAGAGAGACAAGAGAGAGACTAGAGAGAGACTAGAGAGAGAGAGAGACCAGAGAAAGAGACCAGAGAGAAAGCAGAGAGAGACCAGAGAAAGAGACCAGCATTGACAGCATATGTAACGTATCGTGAACCAAAAAAAACAACTTTTGGACCATCCTGTAAAGACGTTTTTTGAGATAACAAAGTGTTGTGAGAATGAATTGGATAATTCTGTTTCCGGGTACACCCCCACCACCAAGAAGTCAGATTGCAAGCGAGTCAGTGCACGTGCTCATGGGTTCTTTTGAGTTGGGACCCGCCCACACTGATAGACACATTTCTCTGCACATGTGTTCGCCCCACACGAGCAGGTCTCTCCACATGTTATTGTTATTCGATTCCAGTGCGAAACTCTCCTTATTTTCAAATTCAGGGGGTTTCGCGCTTGGCTGCTCTGGCATTAAACTCTGAGAAGGTCATAAACTTGATGCATCTGCTATGGATTCGTCAATAATGCAACAACCTCCTCAAAACTAGAACTCCAAGAGAGACTAGAGAGAGACGAGAGAGAGACTAGAGAGAGAGACCAGAGAGAGACTAGAGAGAGACCAGAGAGAGACTAGAGAGAGACAAGAGAGAGATCAGAGAGAGACCAGAGAGAGAAACTAGAGAGAGAGACCAGAGAGAGACCAGAGAGAGAGACCGGAGAGAGACTAAAGAGAGACCAGAGAGAGACAAGAGAGAGATCAGAGAGAGAAACAAGAGAGAGACCAGAGAGAGAGACCAGAAGACCAGAGAGAGACCAAAGAGAGACCAGAGAAAGACGAGAAAGAGAGACCTGAGAGAGACTAGAGAGAGAGAGACCTTAGAGAGACTAGAGAGAGAGACCGGTGAGAGACTAGAGAGAGAGAGACCTGAGAGAGACTAGAGAGAGAGACCGGTGAGAGACTAGAGAGAGAGACCGGTGAGAGACTAGAGAAAGACCAGAGACAGACCAGAGACCAGAGAGAGAGACCAGAGAGAAAGACCAGAGAGAGAGAGAATAGAGAGAGACCAGAGAGAGACCAGAGTGAGACCAGAGAGAGACCAGAGAGAGACCAGAGAGAGACCAGAGAGAGACCAGAGAGAGACCAGAGAGAGCCCAGAGTGAGACCAGAGAGAGACCAAAGAGAGACCAGAGAGAGGCCAGAGAGAGACCAGCGAGAGACCAGAGTGAGACCAGAGAGAGACCAGAGAGAGACCAGAGAGAGGCCAGAGAGAGACCAGAGAGAGACCAGAGAGAGAACACAGAGATTGACAAATCTGCTTCGGATTCTTCAATAATTCACGAACCTCCTCAAAACCAGAACTCGTTAAACCCGACACAGAACAATTCCTTGTTTATCAGATTTTCCATAATTAATATTTTTGTGTGTTGTATAATTATTTGTTTTCCTCGGCGCCGGAGCGAAGGTTTGTGGGTTAGACTGAAGTCGGTCATTACTGTCGGTGAGTGTTTTGGTGCTAACAGGATTATTGGCACAAACCGCGGTAATGAGCCACAGCAGGTTTCTCCACAGAACCACTCTGGACCAAACTGGACCAAACTGGACCAAACCGAGATAATTATGTGGAAATCAGAAAAACAAATGATAATTAAAAAACAAAACAATATGATTTTAACTGTTTTGGAGCAGTTTCAGAGATAGATACAAGAGGGAGAGACCAGAGAGAGGCCAGAGAGACCAGAGAGAGGCCAGAGAGAGACCAGAGAGAGAGACCAGAGAGAGACCAGAGAGAGACCAGAGAGAGAGACCAGAGAGAGAGACCAGAGAGAGACCAGAGAGAGAGACCAGAGAGAGACCAGAGAGAGACCAGAGAGAGAGACCAGAGAGAGACCAGAGAGAGAGACCAGAGAGAGACCAGAGAGAGACCAGAGAGAGAGACCAGAGAGAGACCAGAGAGAGACCAGAGAGAGAGACCAGAGAGAGACCAGAGAGAGAGACCAGAGAGAGACCAGAGAGAGAGACCAGAGAGAGACCAGAGAGAGACCAGAGAGAGAGACCAGAGAGAGACCAGAGAGAGAGACCAGAGAGAGAGACCAGAGAGAGAGACCAGAGAGAGACCAGAGAGAGACCAGAGAGAGAGACCAGAGAGAGACCAGAGAGAGAGACCAGAGAGAGACAAGAGAGAGGGACCAGAGAGAGACCAGATAGATACCAGAGAGAGGGAGCAGAGAGAGAGACCAGAGAGAGACAAGAGAGAGGGACCAGAGAGACCAGAGAGACCAGAGAGAGAGACCAGAGAGAGGCCAGACACCAGAGAGATATCAGAGAGAGAGACCAGAGAGAGGGAGCAGAGAGAGACCAGAGAGATACCAGAGGGAGATCAGAGAGAGATACCAGAGACCAGAGAGAGGGAGCAGAGAGAGACCAGAAAGATACCAGAGAGAGAACAGACACCAGAGAGATACCAGAGGGATAGACCAGAGAGAGACCAGAGATAGACCAGAGAGAGACCAGAGAGAGACCGGAGACAGACCAGAGAGATCAGAGAGACCAGAGACAGAGCAACAGAGACCAGAAAGACCATCTTTCAATCAGGAGTAACTTAAGTTCATTGTAGCTTGAGTAACTTTGGTTGTAACTTTGGTCGTAAGTTCCGCGACTCCTGTGTTCCTGCAGCGAGTGACTGGCCTTGGCTCCATCTGCCTCTCGCTCTGGGCTCGCACAGACGCCGTTGGCCCGTAACCGTCCTCGTGATAAACATGATGGAGACATGTGCTTTCTGGACCAGACAGACTCTCACTCCAGACCCACAGCCGGACCATCCAACCCCAGATGGTGGAGCCGAGGACCGGACCGCAAATATCCAAGATGGCTGACAGCACGGGCGATGGAGCGTCGCCAATACATGAAGTCGATCTTTTCACGATGAGAGATTGACGACTGACTTGAGAGGAAGAGGCTTCAGAATTATGTGCATTGATGTGTTTTCATGAGTACGATGGTGATCATCCAGGACTCCCAGGACGGGAGAGAGACCAGAGGGAGAGACCAGAGGGAGAGACCAGAGGGAGAGACCAGAGGGAGAGACCAGAGGGAGAGACCAGAGAGAGACCAGAGAGAGACCAGAGAGAGACCAGAGAGAGACCAGAGAGAGGCCAGAGAGAGACCAGAGAGAGACCAGAGAGAGACCAGAGAGAGACCAGAGAGAGAGAAAGACCAGAGAGAGACCAGAGAGAGAGACCAGAGAGAGGCCAGAGAGAGAGAAAGACCAGAGAGAGACCAGAGGGAGAGACCAGAGAGAGACCAGAGAGAGAGACCAGAGAGAGGCCAGAGAGAGAAAGACCAGAGAGAGGCCAGAGAGAGACCAGAGAGAGACCAGAGACCAGAGAGAGACCACCATAGAGAGATAACAGCTCTGTCAGAGACCAAAGAGAGACCAGTGCGAGCGCCTTCGTCCTGTGTGTGTGACCCTCTCTCTCTCTCGTCTCTCTGTGACCCTCTCTCTCTCTCGTCTCTCTGTGACCCTCTCTCTCTCTCTCTCGTCTCTCTGTGACCCTCTCTCTCTCTCTCGTCTCTGTGTGACCCTCTCTCTCTCGCCTTGGTCCTGTGTGTGTGACCCTCTCTCTCTCGTCTCTCTGTGACCCTCTCTCTCTCTCTTGTCTCTCTGTGACCCTCTCTCTCTCTCTCGCCTCTCTGTGATCCTCTCTCTCTCTCGTCTCTCTGTGATCCTCTCTCTCGTCTCTCTGTGACCCTCTCTCTCTCGTCTCTCTGTGACCCTCTCTCTCTCGTCTCTCTGTGACCCTCTCTCTCTCTCGTCTCTCTGTGATCCTCTCTCTCTCTCGTCTCTCTGTGACCCTCTCTCTCTCTCTCGTCTCTCTGTGATCCTCTCTCTCTCTCGTCTCTCTGTGATCCTCTCTCTCGCCTCTCTGTGACCCTCTCTCTCTCTCGTCTCTCTGTGATTCCCTCTCTCTCTCGCCTCTCTGTGATCCTCTCTCTCGCCTCTCTGTGATCCTCTCTCTCTCTCGTCTCTTTGTGATCCTCTCTCTCGCATCTCTGTGATCCTCTCTCTCGCCTCTCTGTGATCCTCTCTCTCTCTCGTCTCTCTGTGATCCTCTCTCTCGCCTCTCTGTGATCCTCTCTCTCTCTCGTCTCTCTGTGATCCTCTCTCTCGCCTCTCTGTGATCCTCTCTCTCTCTCGTCTCTTTGTGATCCTCTCTCTCGCCTCTCTGTGATCCTCTCTCTCTCTCGTCTCTTTGTGATCCTCTCTCTCGCCTCTCTGTGATCCTCTCTCTCGCCTCTCTGTGATCCTCTCTCTCTCTCGTCTCTCTGTGATCCTCTCTCGTCTCTCTGTGATCCTCTCTCTCGTCTCTCTGTGACCCTCTCTCTCGTCTCTCTGTGATCCTCTCTCTCTCTCTCGTCTCTCTGTGATCCTCTCTCTCTCTCGTCTCTCTGTGATCCTCTCTCTCGTCTCTCTGTGATCCTCTCTCTCGTCTCTCTGTGACCCTCTCTCTCATCTCTCTGTGATCCTCTCTCTCTCTCTCGTCTCTCTGTGATCCTCTCTCTCTCTCGTCTCTCTGTGATCCTCTCTCTCGTCTCTCTGTGACCCTCTCTCTCGTCTCTCTGTGATCCTCTCTCTCTCTCGTCTCTCTGTGATCCTCTCTCTCTCTCGCCTCTCTGTGACCCTCTCTCTCTCTCTCTGTGATCCTCTCTCTCTCTCTCTCTCTCTCTCTGTGATCCTCTCTCTCTCTCTCTGTGATCCTCTCTCTCTCTCGCCTCTCTGTGATCCTCTCTCTCTCTCTCTGTGATCCTCTCTCTCTCGTCTCTCTGTGATCCTCTCTCTCTCTCTCTGTGATCCTCTCTCTCTCTCTGTGATCCTCTCTCTCTCTCGTCTCTCTGTGATCCTCTCTCTCGCCTCTCTGTGATCCTCTCTCTCGCCTCTCTGTGATCCTCTCTCTCTCTCGTCTCTCTGTGATCCTCTCTCGTCTCTCTGTGATCCTCTCTCTCGTCTCTCTGTGACCCTCTCTCTCGTCTCTCTGTGATCCTCTCTCTCTCTCTCGTCTCTCTGTGATCCTCTCTCTCTCTCGTCTCTCTGTGATCCTCTCTCTCGTCTCTCTGTGATCCTCTCTCTCGTCTCTCTGTGATCCTCTCTCTCGCCTCTCTGTGATCCTCTCTCTCTCTCGTCTCTCTGTGATCCTCTCTCTCTCTCGCCTCTCTGTGATCCTCTCTCTCGCCTCTCTGTGATCCTCTCTCTCTCTCGTCTCTCTGTGATCCTCTCTCGTCTCTCTGTGATCCTCTCTCTCGTCTCTCTGTGACCCTCTCTCTCGTCTCTCTGTGATCCTCTCTCTCTCTCTCTCGCCTCTCTGTGATCCTCTCTCTCTCTCTCGTCTCTCTGTGATCCTCTCTCTCTCTCGTCTCTCTGTGATCCTCTCTCTCTCTCGTCTCTCTGTGATCCTCTCTCTCTCTCGCCTCTCTGTGACCCCCTCTCTCTCTCTCTGTGATCCTCTCTCTCTCTCTGTGATCCTCTCTCTCTCTCTCTCTGTGATCCTCTCTCTCTCTCTCTGTGATCCTCTCTCTCTCTCTCTGTGATCCTCTCTCTCTCTGTGATCCTCTCTCTCTCTCGTCTCTCTGTGATCCTCTCTCTCTCTCTCGTCTCTCTGTGATCCTCTCTCTCTCTCGTCTCTCTGTGATCCTCTCTCTCTCTTGTCTCTCTGTGATCCTCTCTCTCTCTCGCCTCTCTGTGATCCTCTCTCTCGCCTCTCTGTGATCCTCTCTCTCTCTCGTCTCTCTGTGATCCTCTCTCGTCTCTCTGTGATCCTCTCTCTCGTCTCTCTGTGACCCTCTCTCTCGTCTCTCTGTGATCCTCTCTCTCTCTCTCGCCTCTCTGTGATCCTCTCTCTCTCTCTCGTCTCTCTGTGATCCTCTCTCTCTCTCGTCTCTCTGTGATCCTCTCTCTCTCTCGTCTCTCTGTGATCCTCTCTCTCTCTCGCCTCTCTGTGACCCTCTCTCTCTGTGATCCTCTCTCTCTCTCTGTGATCCTCTCTCTCTCTCTCTCTGTGATCCTCTCTCTCTCTCTCTGTGATCCCCTCTCTCTCTCTCTCTGTGATCCTCTCTCTCTCTCGTCTCTCTGTGATCCTCTCTCTCTCTCGTCTCTCTGTGATCCTCTCTCTCTCTCTCTCTGTGACCCTCTCTCTCGTCTCTCTGTGATCCTCTCTCTCTCTCGCCTCTCTGTGATCCTCTCTCTCTCTCTCGTCTCTCTGTGATCCTCTCTCTCTCTCTGATCCTCTCTCTCTCTCGTCTCTCTGTGATCCTCTCTCTCTCTCGCCTCTCTGTGACCCTCTCTCTGTGATCCTCTCTCTCTCTCTGTGATCCTCTCTCTCTCTCTCTGTGATCCTCTCTCTCTCTCGTCTCTCTGTGATCCTCTCTCTCTCTCTCTCTCTCTGTCTCTCGTCTCTCTGTGATCCTCTCTCTCTCTCTGTGATCCTCTCTCTCTCTCTCTCTGTGATCCTCTCTCTCTCTCGTCTCTCTGTGATCCTCTCTCTCTCTCGTCTCTCTGTGATCCTCTCTCTCTCTCTCTCTGTGACCCTCTCTCTCGTCTCTCTGTGATCCTCTCTCTCTCTCGCCTCTCTGTGATCCTCTCTCTCTCTCTCGTCTCTCTGTGATCCTCTCTCTCTCTCGTCTCTCTGTGATCCTCTCTCTCTCGTCTCTCTGTGATCCTCTCTCTCTCTCGCCTCTCTGTGACCCTCTCTCTCTCTCTCTCTGTGATCCTCTCTCTCTCTCTGTGATCCTCCTCTCTCTCTCTCTCTCTGTGATCCTCTCTCTCTCTCGTCTCTCTGTGATCCTCTCTCTCTCTCTCTCTCTCTCTGTGATCCTCTCTCTCTCTCGTCTCTCTGTGATCCTCTCTCTCTCTCTGTGATCCTCTCTCTCTCTCTCTCTCTCTCTCTGTGATCCTCTCTCTCTCTCTCGTCTCTCTGTGATCCTCTCTCTCTCTCGTCTCTCTCTGAGAGACTAGAGAGAAACCAGAGAGAGAGACTTGAGTGAAACCAGAGGAAAAGAGACTCGAGAGATTAAAGAGGGAGAGAGACTTGAGAGAAACCATATAAAGAGAGTAGAGACCAGAGAGAGACCACACAGAGTTGAAAGGTCTCTCTGCTCTTTCGTACAAGTATCCAAAAGATTTCAATCCCATTTTCTTCAGATTTGACCGGACGTTACTTTGAGCAGAGTATTATCATCACAGACAAACACTTTTATAGTTTAACGATGAAAAAGGTCCAGACTTCAGTTTTAATGTCACCGTCTCTCCATTATCCATCTTGATTCTGACACAGAGAAACCACAAAGTCTCTCAAATCTGATTTTATTTCCATTAGACTGATGTGTCCGAGGCCTGCGATGGATGGAACAGGAAGTAGAAAAACTGGATTCACAAATGTGTCGGTTTCGGCGACATCTGTCTCCGCTCTGGTCTCGGGACATTTGTCAAAACTGGACCCAAAGAATCAGCAGAGAATCAGCAGTTTAGCAGCCGCTCGGATGGTTATGATAACTCGGATCAGGATCAGAGGTCTCGGTCGGTTCACGGGACTGGATCAGGAGAGAGTGGAGCCAAAACAGGGTCTAGTTTATAGAAATCAACTCAATGAAATGTGTAGTTGAAGTTCAGACCATTTTTTTTTTATGTTTTCCGACGAGTTATGCAAATAATCTACTATGATTTACTGTTTACATGAGACCAAGACAGATAAAGACTGAGAGAGACCGAGAGAGAGAGACCAGAGAGAGACCAGAGAGAGACCAAAGAGAGAGACCAGAGAGAGACCATAGAGAGACCAGAGAGGGACCAGAGAGGAACCAGAGAGAGACCAGAGAGAGACCAGAGAGAGACTAGAGAGAGACCAGAGAGAGACCAGAGAGGGACCAGAGAGAGACCAGAGAGAGACCAGAGAGAGACTAGAGAGAGACCAGAGAGAGACCAGAGAGAGACTAGAGAGAGAGACCAGAGAGAGACCAGAGAGAGACCATAGAGAGACCAGAGAGGGACCAGAGAGCGACCAGAGAGAGACCAGAGAGGGACCAGAGAGAGACCAGAGAGAGACCAGAGAGAGAGACCAGAGAGAGACCAGCGAGAGACTAGAGAGAGACCAGAGAGAGACCAGAGAGAGAGACCAGAGAGAGACTAGAGAGAGACCAGAGAGAGACCAGAGAGAGACCAGAGAGAGACTAGAGAGAGACCAGAGAGAGACCAGAGAGAGACCAGAGAGAGAGACCAGAGAGAGACCAGAGAGAGACTAGAGAGAGACCAGAGAGAGACCAGAGAGAGACCAGAGAGAGACCAGCGAGAGACTAGAGAGAGACCAGAGAGAGACCAGAGAGAGAGACCAGAGAGAGACCAGAGAGAGACCAGAGAGCGACCAGAGAGAGACCAGAGAGAGACTAGAGAGAGACCAGAGAGGGACCAGAGAGCGACCAGAGAGAGACTAGAGAGAGACCAGAGAGGGACCAGAGAGAGACCAGAGAGAGACCAGAGAGAGACCAGAGAGAGAGACCAGAGAGAGACTAGAGAGAGACCAGAGAGAGACCAGAGAGAGACTAGAGAGAGACCAGAGAGAGACCAGAGAGAGACCAGAGAGGGACCAGAGAGCGACCAGAGAGAGACCAGAGAGAGACTAGAGAGAGACCAGAGAGAGACCAGAGAGAGACCAGAGAGAGACCAGCGAGAGACTAGAGAGAGACCAGAGAGATAAGGTAAGATAAGGTAGGTCTCTGGTCTCTTTCTCTCTGGTCTCTCTCAGTTCTC